GGGAAAAATTCCTTTTTTTTTTTTTTTTTTTTTTTTAATATAATCAACAAAATTCATGATAAATTAAATCAAAAAATGACAAAATAGTCCCTTATGTTCGGGTAGGGTTAAAATACTCTTAAGTATACTTTTGAATAGTTTTGACTTTTGGTGCCCTTCAAATATTTAACAAACTCTAGTTGATAATAGTAAAAATTTTTTTTTGATAAAAACTCATATTTGGAGGTGCAATTTTTTGCAGATTTATACTACTTTTTAAAAAAAAAAATCTATTTCTGGTGTTAGATGTAATTTTTCAGTATAATTTCTGCTATTTTAATCTATTTATGTGTCTGATGCAGCTTTTTGTGTTGTAATCTTTGGATGTGATGAAACTCTGTTTCTGGCAAAAGTTTGGACTTTCTTACTTCATGACATATCTTTATGAAATCAAATACGAATTCACAGAAACATGAAGCACCAGAAATAGTTGAAGCCTTGACCAATATCATACATGCCCTTCTACTCTATTCTATAAGCTATAGCATCCACAACATTTCCACATGACTAAATTTAATTAAAAATCATTCAACATGTCCAACTATATATATTGCTCCAACTTAATACCTTAATAAGTTAATAATGATCATGGATAAAATTCTTGAGATGAGACGTCATATCATGAGTTCTTGGCTGAGAACGTGGAGAATTATGCAGAATCTGAAATGCATGTCCCACACCTTTGTAAACCTGCTTTTCCACTTTAATTCCAGCATCTGCCAATGCACTACACAATTCCAAATTCCTATCTTTGAGTAAATCCGTCTCCGAAATACAAACCAATGTAGAGGGCAATCTTATATTATAGCTCAATCTTGGCTTACACCACGGATGGTCACGATTAGAAGCTACTGGCAAAGCAAGTCTCCAGTAAGTATCTGATGCAGGTAAGTTTAGTGCAGAGTATGGAGGCTGAACTGAATATTTCTCAGAGTGAATACGTGATTCGCCTCCAAAAAATGGTTGGATTAAGATAAGTCCTTTGAGAGATAATGGCTTGAGATTATATGAATTGAGCCTAGTGGCAACGTGATAAGCAATATTAGCACCAGCACTATCACCACTAAGGAACAAGTTGGAAAAACTGCATTTGCTTGACCACCAATTGTGTTCCTTGGAATTGGCTAGTGCTTGATTTTTTAGCCACGTTATAGCGTGGACTCCATCGTCATAAGCAGCAGGAAGACGATTTTCAGGTGCTAAACGATAATTAACTGACATAATTACACAGCCAATTTTTGAAGTAAGATTTGCTAAGAAATCATGGTAACATTTCCATGCAGCAGAACCTACACAGAAACCACCTCCGTGAAAATAAACAAGTAAAGGCAGTTTCTTAGCTGGGATTAAGGTATTGGGAAGGTAAATTCGCGACCATAAATTGGTTGGATTGTGTAAAATGACATCTTTGGCTGTGACACCGAGTTCTTGAGGCAGAGAATAAGGTGGGACAGTTGGGACAATTTGTGGTCTTTCGATGTGGCCATTGTTGTAAAATTTTATAAGACCTTCAATCTCTTCGAGTACAACTACTCCATTTTGTTGATGATGGTCGTTTCTTACGTTGAGATTTTGCCTTGGATCATAAGAAATGGCAGTCACCATTTTTTTTCCAGAGGATGATAGCTATAGGGAGTATATCTTAATTCTTAAGTAATGTAATTTGGTTTTCTGTTTCTGAGTTGTGGTGAGTCCTAAATTGGGACTTTGGAGCTCCTTTTATAGAGGCTCAGAAACTCAAGGCACTTCTGTAAAGGTGAAGCAAGAATATTGAGGATTCTTTGGCAACGTGGAATATTTTTGGGTCAATGTATAGTTAATATATGTGTTCACAAAAAAGAAAGATATATTATTAGACTTTATAAGGCGATTATTCAAATTTGCTTGCATTGCATTATTTGCATATCAAAATTACTTGGCATTGATTATCAAAATGGATTTTTCAGATTGCATATTTAAAATAGTCATTGTTAAGAGGCAGACACTATTTTTTGTAGAGAACATCTAAGTTTTGTGTAATATTGTACATTATTTCTACACCATCAGGTAAATTAATAAATTATACGTGAAGTTATTGTTTATAGCAAACATAATCCAGTAATCAGAAAAATAAGTGGAGATGATTTGTCGCTCTGACAATTTAAACTATGTTAATAGTGTAAAAATTCTTTACATTATTAGGATATATATTTTAATCTTTTTCCTAGTGATCAGATTGTGAACAACAATGGTCGGGGAATTAAGCACTGTGCGCCCAAAGTTAGAGCAGTTTTATTCATAAATCTGCTGCATCAGTAGTTATGCGAAAGTCGGCATGTAATTCTTCGGCTTTGTAAAAGTTATTCGTACCAAATTACACAAGCATATGTCGTACATGGATAACTGGAACTAAAGTTACTCGATTAACCAATATTGGAAAGTCTAAGAATTTCCCTTTTTGTCCGTTTTCAAGCTCCTTTTTATTCCATAATATTTGCGTAATGTTAATCAAACCTCAATTAATTAAATAATTAATTAAGATTCTCATACTAGGAGCATTTGATGACCTTTTCTTGAAGTAGCAGACTGAGGAATTATCTTTTGGAAAGGAGGGCCGGGGAAGAAATTTGAAGGGAATATTATGCATACTTCCTCACGAGGTGCATGTAGAAAATAATTCTTCTTCTTTTCATTTTATTTTGAACTTCTTGTCCAGCCATATCTCATTATTCTTTTTAGGATGGATGGACTAGTTCATATTTGTCCTAAAAGATTACTTATTCATTCATTTCATCATAACGCAGGGCGACCTTTCACCTTTTCATTTTTTTTTTTGGGAGAACCTTTCCATGGATGCATGTTGATTTTGTTAGGATCGAAAAAATCAGGTGTCATGCGGAAGCTAATAAAGCAAACCTTGAATGATGATACGTCCGACAACAAAAGAGAAATATACCAAAAGAGACAGAAACATTTAACGTGGTTCGGTCAATTGACCTACGTCCACGGGCGGAGATGAGGCAAACACAAGTGACACACTAACACTTGTCCCGTAAAGTTCTCCCCCTAAACACGACTCTCAAACCTCTTATGGCTACATTGTGTATGTTACTGAATAAGAATGAATGATCCTCAATTTATAGAAGTCCAAACTTTTTCCTACAAGAAAAGAGACTAGCCAAATATGAAAGATATATAGTTTCCTTCTACAAGAAGGAAAACCCAATTATGGTAAATGTGTTGGCTCTTTCCTTCAAGAAATAGGAGAATCAAATATGATAAGAAAATCAGGACAACACCTAACAGATTTCGAGTACATGCATTGTTTCTTGTGATCCAAGCTCATTTAAAATATTGCTTACTTTTCATTTTATTATTTTTTAGAGAGGAAAATCCTTTTTCATATTAAAAAAAATTATAACGAAAAACATCAAATTCCTGTTTTTCATTCAAGAACAAAGGATCACATGCCGATGGAAGTCGAACACTCAAGTGGTGAAAATAAACTTCACGTTCAAACACTCACAAAAAAAAAAAAAAAAAAAAAAACCAGAATTAAAAGAAAAAACAAAAGCAACTCCAACAAAATTGTTTTCTAATCCAAACTCAAGTTAAATTCGAAAAGATAAAAGCCTCTAGGAAAAGACAAGAAGTGAAGAACTTTCCATTAAACACCGAGAGAGAAAAGAAGGAAAAAGAAAACAAGAAAGTAACAAAGGGAAGCCTATCTATTTCCATGGAGCATCTTTTTTTGCATTCGCCACTTGCGCGCATTTGGACTTGATCTGACCACCCTTAGGTAAGGTACTAAGGTTAAACGTAAAATGCAAATTGGTAAACATGACAACTAGTGGCGGACCCAGAATTTTGTGCAAGCGGGCTCAATCTTAGAAGTACATAACTTTAGCCGTAAATTAGTAGTTGTCAAATAGGTTCAAATAAAATATTTATACAAAATTTACGCAGTTTTAATCCTAATTTATACATATACACAGTATTATTTTTTTTATGAAACGAGTTCAATATATACACAACAAATTTACGCAGCTTGCCATCACGTGCGTCCGCCACTAATGACAACTTAGAAGAAGAGAAAAATTAAAGCTTAAGTTGTATATATACACATCGATAGTGATTTTTTTTTACAATTAGGTTAATTAAGTTAATTTACAACGACAAATAACTTTTCATAACAAATCCGATATGATAACCGAAAAAAAACAAAAAAATAACTTACTATTTAAAAAAGAAAAGCGGGACAACTGCAAACTGCAAAGACGAGAAAGGGTGAAAAGCTAAGGATATTGACAAAGAAACGTTCTTTATATCCTTAGAGATGCAAGCATGCAACTATGCAATAGGGAGAAGTGAGTTGGTCAAAAAGGAAGTCCCGAATATTTGAAGATCATAAAGTTGGCAAACCAGTTGCACGTACGTACTTGAGGTCTGACTAAAAATTAACGTGTATTTCAGCTGGAATCTTAATTATGTGACCTTTATGCTTGCAAAGAGTCTCTGATTGGGAAAGACAAAGAAAAACTCTATCTGCTGAGAGAAGTGCAAAGAACTAAAGATCTCTTTTTTGATAGTTGAATACTTCAATTTTCCGATGCATGGCATGCATAACCGCACATCCTATATCATGTCGCTGTGACAGCATTATATCTTTAGAATAAAATCTTCTGCTTGGGACCTACTAAATTTTCTTCTTACTATAAGGGTTCAAAACTTGATAACGCGGTAGGAGAAATAGAATGCAATAAAATAAAACCACCACACGGGAAAGATTCACTCGGTGAGTTCTTTGTATATGTCTAAGTTTTGGTGCATAAAATTACTCGATACTTATGCAGGTGTAGTAATTAGTGTCTAGTTAAATTAGTTAAGGTACAAACTTGCCCGAACATCAGCAACAAAGCAACAACAACCATGCCTTAGTTCTAACAAGTTGGGATCGCTATATATGAATATTCACTAACTATTTATCTATATTACGAGGATCCATCATGAATTGGTTAGTTTTATTCAAGTTTAGAACCGACAACACGAGGAAGCTCACACAAACAAAATTGGCTCAAACACCAAGTTATAAGTACAACTGACGTTATAGCAAACAAAATACCAATAATAGTACAATAATAGAAGTAAAACATAAGTGCTAATTAGGGGCGTATATGTATCGGGTTGGTTCGATTTTTATCAAAATCAAACCAAATCAACTGTATCGGTTTGGATTGGTTCGGTTTTGTCGGGTTTTTCGATTTTTCGATTTTTTTTGTTACATGAATATTATTCCAATCTTACTTTGTTAAAGTTATAGATAAAGTTTTGATAAGTGAATATATGTTTAGTAAATATTGAAAAAATTGACAAACATATGATCTATTAACATATTCTAATGGGAGAATTTTTTTAGTAACACATGATGGCTATTTTCTTAGTCGTCTAATAATAATTTTCGTTAATGTGCGCTTTCAAGGTTAACACATGAGAGGATCCCAAATATTTCAATATTTTTTAAAGAAAATTCAATATAAAATCTTAAAAATATATATAAAAGTTATATATTTATATGTCGGTTTGGTTCGGATTTTTTTACTCAATACCAAACCAAGTCAAACCAAACCTAGTCGGATTTTTTAATCGGTTTGGTATGGTTTTCCGGTTCGGTTTGAACATCCCTAGTGCTAATGCTATGCAACTAAGATAGTCACATGCTTGTAAGTTACTGACATGCAATATATAGGGATGGCAAGCGGTGCGGTGTGGGTGCGATGCGGTTCTATATAAAATCGTAAAATTTCAACCCACCTCGCTTCGCCCCGCCTCGCCTCGCCCCGCATGGCACTTCCACCCGCACCACAACCACACCCGCATCCACCCGCCCTGCCCCGCCCCGCTTCAGTTTTTATTTTTATTTTTATCATTTTATTAGTTTTGTTTCTTTTTTATTTTTTTGGCTAAAATTCTCCATGTCCGTTAAGAATTTAAGTTTGGATTCAACTGCTTTGTTTAGTTTCTCAAATATATTGCATAGGATTAAAAGTAGACAAAGTCCAAAAATAATAAGGATATCTAGAAATTTAATTCTTTTTAAAAATATTTTAAAGTAGTAAAATTATATAAAAGTAGTAAGTAAACATGAAACTAATTTGTATGCATAAAGACTTGTGCGGCTTTCGTACTCCATTATAGATTAGATTCATTACACCATGTAATAAGACACTGTTAATCTTTGTACATTATTTGTTATGAATTACTTATTAAAAAAATACGAATTAGGCTAATAAATTTAGGATTGTTTATTATGATATGCATAAAACCTTTCTAATGCAGACAAACATACTTTGACATGAACACTGAAGCTTAATATCTCAAAAGTAAACCGAAGGCATCACTGAAATGTTGTAATTTTGNCGCCCCGTCCCGCCCCGCATATGTTAAAACCCTCCCCACATCCGTCCCGCCCCATTGCCATCCCTAGCAATATAGTACCATACCTCTAAGGGCCCGGTAGTTTGGTTGTTCGGATAAGGAATAACAATTTTATCCCGCGCTTGATTATGGGTATTATTTAGTCCCGAGAACCATTTTATACAAAAATGGTTGAATTTGTTATCCCATATAAAAAATAGATTAGCTAATCTCATAGAATATCTCATGTTCTATCTCATGCCACCACCAAACTA